CACTTTCAAAATAACAGAAAACAAAATACTGGAGTCTGCAAAAGTTTGGGCACCCTGCAGAGTTTAGAGCATGCACCGACCTTTTGGAACGCTGAGACCTGACAGTGGCATGGGTTGTTCACAATCATCAAGTCTGAAAAGACCAGGTGATGTCACTCTCAAAGGTTTGAAATGCCCAGACTCATCTGACCTTGCCCCAACTATCAGCACCATGGGTTCTTCTAGCAGTTGTCTAGAACATTCGACCCCCACTGTATATACCCTATATGTTCCAGTACTGATTAAATGCTTGTAGTTGTCTGGCACAATACGTTTACATTTTTACAGTACAGCGGACCCCCGAGATACGAGTCTAATCCGTTCCACAGCAGCACTCCTGTGTTGAATCGCTTGTATCTAGATTGCATTTTCCCCAGTAGAAATGACTAAAAACCAATTAATTCATTCCAGCCCCCCAGAAATATGTCTAATATTAATTCATTAAATAAAAATTCCCCACTTTCTAAACATCAAAAACATACTGTAGGCTACATACTCGCATATAAGCCGCATTTAAAACACCAAAAATAAAGAAAATCGGGCCTATATGTGCAAAAATACCTGGGACAGCATTTTCCATCAATCACATCATCACCGATAATAAACACCAGGTCGAACGTATGGTCAAAAATATTATTACACTTAAAAATACATCCTATCCACACAAACTACAACTGATATTTAATAATTATTTTAACTCCACCACTTCGCAACAAACGAAGCGGAATCTTCGCAATTTTAACGTAAACAGCGTTTACCGAGATAATTTTCTAATTCTTTGTTGATGCACACAGCAGCAGTAAGACATTTCACCACGGCAAAAAATGAAAACTCACCATTTTGGAATCAATTTTCAGGGGTCGACCTTTACGCGAATCGGCTAATACGCGAGTACGTACGGTAGATATAAACACATACAGTATATTGCTAATATAAAATAATATTAATTAAGAAAACTGTTATATTACTGTTATAAAAATGGGTAAAACAACCCAGCGAGGGACAGTTAGCAAGACAGCGGGCCGACATTAGCATATTACGTAATATCTGTAAGAGTCGTTTTTCCTCCAATAAAGCTGTATATTAAAGTGAAAGTCACTAGGTGGCAGCATTGCAGCTCATCCATTAATCTCATACTCTTACAGTGGTTTGTACAGATAAATAAATGAATATTACCAGGCCTATATCGCTATCGCTTGATATCGGAAACGGAAATTGTGTTTAGACTTTAGATTCGATTTGATATCGGTCATGCCTAGATTTTATCATACATTTTAGTGGGGTTTTTTTTGTTTTTTGTTTTTGGGGTGTTTATTTTGTTTTATAGGTACTTTGTATTTTCATTTTTATTTTTTATTCTATTCTATTTCTGGGTAAATTGCTTCCCTTTTACCTTGTCTTTATTTCATTGAGTCTAAGCTGTTCAGTAATAATAAGAGCTCAGACGCTGTTTAAGCTATCGAAGTTGGGTTTGCTAACTTGCCCCCTGTTTAGTTAAATGCTATATATTTTTTCTTTTGCTCTCCTAGGGGACAGAATTGAAATACTATTGAGCCCCTGGTAATATATATTTATTTTTCTGTACAAACCGGTGTAAGAGTTGCTGGCACCAGAATTCTGCATACAAAATAGATAGTGACTATTTTTAGACTTTTCATATATATTTAGGTTAGTGACTGGAGGCTTGTTTATCATTCATAATGTTCTGTTCATGATGTCTCATGTGTGATGAAGGAGTTAACAGTTAGTTCATGATGTGTCATGTGTGATGAAGGAGTTAACAGTTACAGGTATGGGAGGGGCCGTGAGGAGGTGTAGTGGGAGCAGGTGTGTATGACAAAAAGAGAAAGTGCAGAGAGCGTGAGCGGAGGAAAAGGTGTTTTTGGAGAAACTGGGTTGAGAGCAATGAAGGAGTTTACAACCTCATACTGCAATGGTGTGTTTCAATGAAAGTTCTTCAGAGCACTGAGGCACCTGATTGGTCTGTTCCCAGGGTATTGCACTATTGATAGAGCACACATAATTTGGCAAAACCCAGGCATTGGAATATCTGGTTTTCAGTATTGGATGAAAAACCGGTAACGATTGTCACAGATATTACAAAGTTATACTACTATCGGGCCCATAACATCAGTCGTCCGATATTATAGAATTTCCCTAGCAGAAATACTATTTTTTTTATCACAAATTCTAGCAATTGTTTTGGTGTGTGTGTGTGTGTGTTTGTGTGCAGACCAGCAGTGCTCTTGGCTGCTGCAGCAGGTGCAGATAGACACACACTTCCTGCAGCAGCTGAACGTGTTGGACTACAGTCTCCTCCTGGCCCATCAGCCTTTGCATCATGACGAACGCCTTCATAACCTCTCCTTTGCATCACTCATCGTACGAACCAAAAAGTCAGTGGCCACAGCACTCTATTTTCTACAGATACCGTTGGCAACATTGCTACCGAGTCAGCTTTTCTTTACTCTGACGCCCTGTTGCTGAACTCCAGGGAAGTCATTTTTAACTTTTTAGGGTTGGAAGATATACATAGCAAAATGTTCTACAAGAGTAAAGCTGATATTCGTATGTTGTTAAACCATTGAAAATGTGATTTGACCTGGAGGAGTAAAGGAAACATACAAGATATGATTCAAATATATGACGTCATAGGTTAAAGAAAAGCCAAGAAAATAGCTTACGCAGAATGGGCTTCAAGTTCAATCAAAGAAACTAGTTGGGTTACTAAATAATAAATATACCACTGATGTCATCATTGATGTACAAATGAATAACCGACAAATGAAATAATGACAAATATAATGATAAAAATGAACTCATAAAAATTGCCATGAAAAATAACCAGGAGGTAAACTTGCCAGCACAGGTTGAAGGCCAATCAATTTCAGTGTAAAAGAGTCGGGAAGCAGGTTTTCTTATTGTTACATTTCTAAGGGATTGTTTGTTTTGAAAATTAGTAACCAGCTTGAGATGGCATCTAGTATACGAACATGTGTGTTTGTTTTGTTCCAACATGAGCCGAAAGGTGTTTTCCCTCCGTGGACTTTTTCTTTTTTTTGCACACGGTCCGTGAGATAGTTTTTACAAAGGAAAACAAACAAGTCTGCTCAAGAAAATGCCGTCAGCGTAGCACAGGAAACAAGTTGTAAGTCCATGAACTCATTCATTCATGTATAACTGTTAGGTCCAAATATTACTGTATGTCATGTGGACAAGCACAAAGTGGCAAATGTATGGTAGGATAGGCTAAAGTTATAGAGACAAATGTTCATAAAGTTGCATATTCATGAAAGCTATGATGGAACATGTTGAGAAAATGACGTAAGGTCACAAGAAGTCAAATTGCTCAGATTGTTTTATGGTCAGGGTTGGATAAGGTTGATTATTAGGTGAGTGATAGATGTGTGACAGGAACATGATTCAGTTTATTTCTAGGAGGGGAAAAAAAGGGGGGGGGGGGAGTTCCAAAGTTGTGAAGGAGAATTGAGTTAAGTTACAAATACAACGGCAGCGGTCAGTTGATCTGCAGGTCTGTGAAGGGACCACTGATGCAGGGGCAGATTAGAACTTAGAGACGCATGTGATCTGGTCGTGACGTTAAGCCAAAGCTAATGATAAGTGCAATTGATGCCTTGCATCCATATGAGCCTTTCATTGAAACTGTCAGGCATATGTTCTATTTGCTGCGACTATCCTTTTAGATCGGTCTCTCCAGGCTCCAGTTCACCTCCCATTCACGAAGACCTCACCGGCGTACCAGGAGAAGTTCCGGAGGATGAGCCTGTTCCACTCGTGTATGAAATGTATGGAGAGAATCGGGAGCAAAGGTCAGAGCATATCAGGCCAGGAAGTGAGGCCACAGACTTTCCAGACTTCAAGGCCCAAAATCGACGTTTGCTTCCCAACTTGAAGAATCCGCTGCACATCATCGACGGGCCTGATCGGCGCTACTTCGTCGGTATAATTGACATTTTCACTGTTTACGGCTTTAAGAAGAGGCTGGAGCATCTGTGGAAAACACTGAGACATCCTGGTCGCTCCTTCTCCACAGTCAGCCCGCGGACGTACTGCCGGCGCCTGAGCCAGTGGGTACAGGAGCACACCAAGTAAACCAGATCCTATTTCAGACATGAACCCTTTGGTTCAGATATGACGGATAACATCTACATGCTCTGCTAGAGTCTAAATGACCCATATTTGACCCAAGGGTCCAGACTGTACTGTACTACATAGCATACAAGCAACCCAGGTGTAAAACTGCAATGATAATAAAAGAAATGAAAGCCTTCTCCGCACCTCTTGTCATGTGAATTGTTGGCGTGGCAAATATTGAGGATCTTGGGGAGTGAGGGTTGGGAATGGGAGGCTTCCAATGGCCTTCTGTTACTAGGGTGGGGTGTGAATGAATTTCTGTCCCCCAGGAGTTGCATGACGGAAAACAATGGAGAAGTACTGATCTGGGCTAACTCCCAACCAAAGAAACCAAGATTCCTTTTTGAAACTTTACCTCGTTAACTTTGAGCTACACCACTCCCCCAGACCAGAAACCACCAACCTTTACTATCTATTACTAAATATACTATATTTATATTTATCCCATCCAGTTACATTTGTCCATATTGTTTATATTGGTATTTATATTTACATTATAGTTTATCTCAGCACACTTCTGAACATGTATATTTACCATTCGTTTATATTACTGTACCATATTGCATGCTGGTACAGTAATATATCTTTATATTTATTCCATCCTGTTACATTTGTCACTCCATACTGTTTATATTGATATTTACCTTATGGTTTTATATTTAGCACAATTTCTGTTCTGCACTACCTATATTCATATGTAGGTAGACATACTTCAAATGATCACTCATGGCCTACAAGCCAAGTGCCCTTTGTACCGTGTGCTCCGGTTGCCAGGCAACGACATTTCATTGCCAGACTCACTGTTTCCTTGTGGTTCTGTGCAATGAAAATTAAATAAAGTGTAACCCTAAGTCTTTGTACTTGCACAGTTGTACACAGATATAGAGGTATATTTTTGGTTGCCTCAATATCCCAGTCAGTTCAAGATAAGATCTTGGTCGTGATCCGTGATCCACCCCACACCTCACCCCCCACCCCCAATACGTCATGGTGCGTTTTTTTAATAAAAAAAAAAAAAACAACCCAAAAATCAACCCCACTCAGATGCACTACGGCTCCACCTCTCCCTCCGCCAACAACAGTGACAAGATGAGGTAATCCCTGGATGAGGGCTTTAAAAGGCGAGTCAGTATCCCTTGCTCTTAACGCTCTCATCACTTCTGCAAATTCTTGTGTAAGCAGTCTACAAAGGCTCTGATTGCAATGGGCCACAAACCAGCAGAGGCTGTTACCAGGAATGCAGTGGTGAACATGACATGTGTAGAGGAACCGGCTCTGATTCTCATCAGACATTGTCAGGACATGAAGAAGCAGGAGACTCGACTCAGATTTATCACCCTTCTGCTGCTGCTGGGCTGTGGATCACTGTTCCTCTACATCAGCTGTGCTGTGCTCTGGTTCCACAGAGAGCCTGCTGGTACTGAGCACACGGTAAGTTCCTGCTTGTTATTCTGTTTTCTTCTCAGGAATGCGAGTGTTTCTCTCAGTGTTGCAAAACGTTGTAGCACATTTCTGGAAATGATGCAAAACCCAACGACGCAACGACGAAAACTCATCTATGTTTGCTCATGCACCGTAGCCTGTGTTTAACAGATGAATGAACTATCAATGGTTTATGATCTCGGCCTTCACGGGAATTTACACACACTCTCTCTCATTACAATATCGGCGAGTGCTGATGGGGACTGCCCCGGATTCGTTTTTTAAAAACATTTCTTGCAAAAAAGTGCAAACCTTTGACCTCATTTTGACCAGTTACTAGTTTAGTGCAAACCTTGGACCTCATTTTGACCAGTTACTAGTTTACCTGCTGTTAGAACAATACATCTCAAATAGTGGAGCGGTCACCCCTGGGGTCGGGGAGTGAGGTGAATGTTTTGGTTCAGTGGGGTTTCCTCCACTCCTAATACAAAAAACATGTATGCATTGTTATGAAGGAGTCTCAAGAGGACAAGGCCGGAAGATGAGTTAAAAGTTGAGTCACAACCAAGCTGTCCATGGGACGTTAGATGGACCAGATGGTCGAAGCACAAAAAGAGTGAGGGGTCTTTTTGCGAAAGAGTGCGAAGGGTCGGCATACCTTGGTGTCGCAAGATGGACCAGAACATCTGATATCTGAGAGCCAGTGAGGCAGGCCTGACATCTTAGAGATGGACTGGTCCTTTAAACGTGCAGTGACCCAAATGAGGACATCTGTCCCACTCCCTGAAAAGAATTCAAAGGGTGTATAAGACATAAAAAGTCGAAAGATTTTAGTGTGTCTGCAATAACCTTAACGAGTGTTTTTTTTTTTTTTTTTTTTAGACCACTGGTGTGCGGAGCTCAGCCTATTCCAGACAGGAAGGCCCCCCCGAAACCCAGGTCTCTAATAGAGGTACACTTGACTGTTGGTAAACAACAACAATGAAACAGCTATTGAAACTGCTACGTCATATCTCTCATCCTCTCTCCCTCTCTCTCTCTGTCTTTGCAGAAAATAGGCCATTCCACATCTACCTACGTGAGTTGCTTTCACTGCCGTTCAGATAAGATACAACAAGGCTCTCCAGCTCAGCCGTTATATAATGCAAATATAGGAATAGATCACAAGGAGCAGGGAAAGGAAAAGTGCTGAGTGCTGCTTAATGTACTTGTTTAACTACTGGTATACTGTAGTATACTGTGGTATACCTAGTATGCATACACACACGCACACATATATATATATATATATACATTTATATATAAATATATGTATATACTGTATGTCATACTAATTGAATTTAGACTAACAACAGTATACTAAAAATATAAATAATTATTGAGATTGCAATTAACAACACCACACCGACTAATCTACTAACATCCACTGTTCAGGTTTCCTATTTTCACTGACGGTGTGCTGCTACTCATGCTTGTATTTCATCCTATTTGACCTATTCCTGGGTTTTTACTGTTTGTTTTTGCTGCTGTACCGCTGCTTTCCCGAAGTGCTATCTAATCTAATCTAATCTAATCTAATCTAATCTAATCTAATCTAATCTAATCTAATCTAATCTAATCTAATCTAATCTAATCTAATTTCCCGAAGTGCTATCTAATCTAATCTAATCTAATCTATCATACTAATTGAATTTAGACTAACAACAGTATACTAAAAATATAAATAATTATTGAGATTGCAATTAACAACACCACACCGACTAATCTACTAACATCCACTGTTCAGGTTTCCTATTTTCACTGACGGTGTGCTGCTACTCATGCTTGTATTTCATCCTATTTGACCTATTCCTGGGTTTTTACTGTTTGTTTTTGCTGCTGTACCGCTGCTGGAGCCTAAATTTCCCGAAGTGCTATCTAATCGAATCTAATCTAATCTAATCTGATCTAATCTAATCTAATCTAATCTAATCTAATCTAATCTAATCTAATCTAATCTAATCTAATCTAATCTAAACTGCAGAAAGAGCTACAAGTAAGCTAAACAAATGTCTAAAAATGTAAAATGAGTTGATCAACTTGACAGCTGAAAGTCAGCCCATAGCTAAACGCAACAAAAAAAGTTAAACAAGGGAAAATAGAATTAGATAAATATTTATCTGAAAATGTTATAAACAAGTTGGTAATTGCACGAGCGACACGGAAGCATAAAACTGCCGAATCTGACATAACGTGTTTTCCTCTTTGCCCGTCATTCTACAGAGTCTGTACCTTTCAAATGTACGAAGGGTATGCACGACCTGGAATGGAACGAAGACTGCAGTCCGACGTACGACAGCCAAAGACGAGCCATCAAGATCCCTTACGCAGGAGCCTACTTCATTTACACCAGAGTCATGTTGTCCTGCGTAGTCTGTAATTTCAAAAGCTTCAGCATATTTGCCATGGAGGTGGACATTTGGAACAAGAACTCGAATGCAAATCGTCCAATACTTGTCCAGGACAGCATGAACTGTCAGCAGGACGGCTTCAAGAACATCTACATGGGCGAGCTCTTCGACATGTCTGAAGGAGATCACATAACTGTACGGGTTAAGAATGGCACACAGCTGATCAAAACAGCCTTTTTTGGGGCTCATATGATATCTTAGTTGGTATTGCGCAAATGGATGTTGATTAACCATTCAACAGTCAGAGAAATTCCAGGTTTTCTTTCTTTCTTTCTTTTTTTTTTTGCATTTTGCACTTAAACTAAACTAAGTTTATCAAGCGTTCATGTGTTTAACATTAACAATAACTTTAACAATAACTATGTATTTTATTCTTACAATATTTAAAATGTTCCAAATGTATTAAACTTATCTATGCTATTAGAGATAGCTATTTAAATTGCATCTGGAATGTTTGGTATTGGAATTTTGTATTGAGAGCCACATGGTTTATGACGGAAAAGCTGGGGAGCCATCTACATGATGGATGGCTTTTATGCTAACCAGGTCCTGTGAGTTTCTCCTTTTTTAACTAGTTGGTGTCTAGATAAATTAACAGACAGACCTCAAGCTAACTTGCTACTCTCATTGCTGCACTAACTAGGGAGCGTCAAGATGGAACAGTAGATAGATGTTAGACTAACTTAGCCAGATTGTTGGTAGCCTAGAGTTACCGTTCTACTGATAGCCCACTGCAACATATTGTACTGCCACACAGATGCCAGCAAATGCTAACATTAATGGTCTTTTATGTTTCACAGAAAATGGTGGGTATTTTTATTATAATTAAATATATTTATTATATAGTGTTTATACTAACTTGGGTCTGGGTTAGATTTTAGGTTAGATTTTTTAAATACATATTTTATATATTTAGAATGAACCTTTTTATGAATGCAGACATTCATTTTTGGAGACTGACTAAGATGAGATTATTGTCAATAAAGATCAAGATTTCAGTTACTGGTTTCTTTCTGTGTGTTCTGTCTTGTAGGATTGAATTATACTGTACAGACATTTAATACAAAAGCTACATTACAAACATGAAGTAAATTGCCCATATTTATTAAAAACCGAATTTATTGCAACCACTTTTTACGGACAAATCAGAATGTTACGTTGTCTGTATTTTAGTCAGGTTTATGACCAGCCAAAAATTGGTGATTAGTTTTGCTAAAGCACACTCATTAACCACAGCAGAAATATCTTAACCCAGGTCTTGTGTTAGGGTCGTAACTGAGCTGCCTCTAGGTTTAAAATGCATTAAACAACCACGTGCATTTGCTCATTGAAGCCTTTTTTTTTTTTACGTTGTCAGGAGCCTCTGTTTAAAGCAAAACTATAACTGATTTCCCCTAGATGATGGTTCCCTAGATGATGGTTAAAAGTGTTGCATTTATGACTTTCAGTTCCATATGATTTAACACCGTGAACTCTCGGTCGACCCTTCGCCTCTTCCGGGATTCCCCCTCCCATCCCAGGGAGCCAACCCCTCTATTGGAGAAGTGTTGTGTGATAGTGATGTGCCGAAAACGTTATGATGAAATCATATGACATAAGATGACTTTTATCTTCGTCTTTTAGAAGCTGTTAGAAGCTTTAGAACAGGGGGGGGTCAAACTGATTTCCACCAGGGGGCCACATCAGCAACCCTTGAAGGGCCGGCTGTAACTGGAAGACTGTGTAGATCATGAGTCCCTAACCCCCGGTCCGCAGACCAGTACCAGTCCATAGGTCATTTGGTACCGGGCCACAGTGGGACACAGTGGAAAAAATGTACTTCATTTTGACTAATTTACTCCATTCAAAGAAAATCCAGTCATATCCATTTACTTTCTTTATTTAAAGATAATCTGGAATTTTAAAATGATAGGTCCTTCAGACTCTGATACTAACAGAATAGAGTCTAAGTGATTTTTGAATCACCGTACAAATGAAAATCTTGAAAAAAAAAAAAAATGAAACGTGCGTATGTTCGTCAGATTAACTGTGAACTCCCTCCCTTCCAGGCTTCAGTGTCTGTGTGAAACATACCAACACACCGACTCACTGATAACATGAGTCATCCCTGAAAGTGAAAAATAAATAAAGTCAGCTTTGAAAAACAAAAAAAATGATGTAATGCGTTGGTGGGCCATCACTGCTCTGTGAGAATGGCACCTCTCTGTCAACAGGAAAAGTTTAGCTAAAGGCTAAACTGGGCTGAGTCCACATTTGCGCAGGAGGATCGGATTCCTAGCGACACACGAAACGTTCCTCAAAAATAAATCCTCTTGGCAAACATTCCTTTTTTTCTTTTTCTTTTTTCAATTGGCGCTATTTATTTCTGATTTCTTTTCTTTTCAGGTTAAAGTAACTTTATTTTCTTTTTATTCTGTTATGTATTTATTTTATTTTACATTAAATGACATTTTTCCTGCATATGGTTTGATATTAAAAACAAAGTTAAATGGCATTTTGTCGAACTGTCCAAACATAGTTGAGGGCAACTGGACGGAGTAGGTTTTTTTTTTTTTTCCAAAGACGTTTTACCTCTCATCCAAGAGGCTTCTTCAGTTCTGACTGACTACTGGGAAATTCTGTTGTTCAAGAGGTGGTGAAACACATCCTATTCCAAGGAGGACGGGATGTAAAGTCACAAGTTCAGAGGTGTGAATGGGAAGTGATACCATAGCTGAGCCACACCTTTGGCTGGGTGACAACAATGAAACTGTGGTCTTGAACTCAGGAGGACATCATAGGTGGGTGAAAGGTTGGGTCTCAAACCACCTCCTCTATTGAGAGATGGTTTCTCCAGATTGATGGAGAATCTCTCAAACCATCTTTCTTCTGGGCAGTGGTGGCTTAGTGGTTAAAGTAGCGGGCTTGTGTCTGGAAGGCTTCAGGTTGGAGTCCACCAGCTGCCAAGTTACCACTGAGACCGTCCGCACACACTGCTCCCTGGGTGCTTAAAGCTGCCCCCTGTTGACTTTAGTGACGGGTTAAAAGCAGTGGTGTGCTGTGTCACTATGACAAGTAGTTTCACTTTCACTTTCTCTGGCGAGGATATGCATGTCCTCATCCACAAAAGTGTGTCCGTTGTCCTTAAGATGTAGATGAAGGGCCGAGTCCTGCCCTGAGGAGCTGGCTCTCCTGTGTTGTTGCATACCCTTGTACAGGGGTTGGTTGGTTGGTTTCCCCCAATGTAGAGGTCAGGGCAGTCCTCACCAGTCTTTGTCTGGGGGTGTTGGTAGAATGGTTGTACCATCTTTTTTGTGAAACTCCAAAGGGCGGGGCAGAAGGGTTGTGTCGGTTGTGGTGAAAAGGTTTCGGTGGATGTTGTCAATATTTTATTAAGGTGGGTGTGAATGGAGGTGTGGGAAAATAAGGCTCCTCAAACTGGCTGCTCCACCACCTTAGGCTGCTCTGATAATACATTAGTGAATAATCACTGAAGCGTGACTCACTGGCTGATAACACCGATCGGGGGGGCAGCTGGCAGCAATGGTGATTACACCATACACTGCTCAAAGCTGCCCACTGTTCACTTTGGTGATGGGTTAAAAGCAGAGGTCACATTTGGCTGTGGACAAAAATGTGCTGTGTCACCATGACAATTAGTTCACTTGTCACTTTTTTTGTAAAGAACACCCACCTGTGGTTTCGATTTCATTCATTTTTCTTCCCACTTGATACAACTCCGCCCACTGGTACATCAAAGCTAAACTGTTTTATTTTTAGAACGCAGCAGCCACACATGACTCAGAGGAAATCCTTCTGCAGGCCTGACATCACCACACACTAGGGGATTGCCTCCCTAACTGAAGAGCATAATCTGCACGTCCACAACTATGAGCTCATCCTTTCTATGACACACAACCCTGATGTAATCAAGCACTTTTAAACCTGCTCACACATTAGTCTTTTTGTTTCTGCCACAGATATACATTTCCTCAGAAGTGCTGTTTGATGATTGATGTGAACAATACCCACATCTCAGTTAGGATGATAGACATAGCTTTTCTGGGAGTTTTGAGTGACACGCTGCTGAAGCTGGCTCCGCCAGGTGACTTGTGGCTACATGCGGCTTATCACTTAGTCGTCAACAACCGGTTATATTGAGCATGAATTGAACATACTGAGTTAGCTCAGAGCTGATAAAGACCCCAAGATTCAAATGCTGCTAATATCTGGCTAAACAAGCTAATTTAGCATAGCTAAGAGCCTCGCCAAACGAGACGAATTAGCTCAAAAATAAATAAATGAAGATTAAAAGTACTGACACAAGAAACAGCTAAAACATACAGTAAGAGTAACGACACCAAAAATAACTAGGGATAGACAAATTGGACAATTAAGGGACAGTTGCCGTTAAAAGAGCAACCTTGCTAACTGTGGATCAAAATCAAGTCATAAAATGTGTTACTGTTTTAATGTCAAACAAAAAATGAAGAAGACTTTGCCAGCATTACCTGTTGGTTACTTAGTGAAGAGGCTAAAGACATTGCCAAAGTAAATCAGTACATTTTTACCAAAATCGAGCTCCAAAACAACTTCAAAAATATCAACTCTGCAAAAATATACCGACATTCTTAAATTTGATCATGGACCCAGAACCTTGCACAGATCTGGTAAAGTTACACAGAAAACAGTCAACAAAGAGTGGCTACAGTAACTGTAGCTACAGTAGGGTATGATAAGAAAAAGAAAAAACCCCAGATGGTTTGTGTTTAAATTCAAAATGACTAGGAAGTGGACAAAATTGCAAAAATGTTAGTCAAACCAAAAATTCAGGCTAGCACAGAATTTGCGGTAATCCTTGGTTAGATGCACAAACACGATGTTATTTTATTGTTGGGTAGAGGCTGATGTTGCATTTTTCTAATCTATCATGATATTTTGAGCACACACAGGACTACAAGCCCAGTTTTAAGACCAGCCCCTTTTAAATCGGGTTTTTCGACAACTGCTTCTGCATGTGTGTACGCCTAGGAAATAAAAATGACAGCACTGACGGAGCAGAGTGATGAAACTGACGAGAGATCCTAAAAGGTAACGCATTTATATTTATTAATGAAAAAAAACAAAAGATACACAGAGAGATAAGTTTGTGGGTCTTGGAGTCTTTAGACAAAAAAAACAATCGAACAGCACAGGACACACGGAGAAAACATCTGAAAACCAGCAAATCAACGACGACTCGTGTCAGGGCACAACAGCTTCAGCCTGTAAACACTCACTGACAAGTTTGCATAAGCGCTGCTGAGACAGCGTTCAAACTACACTACAACAACTGAGTGGGTGTGTACTTGTGTGTGTGCGTGTAGTCGTTTTCCTATTTTTTTCCCCAACTAGCTAAGCAGTTCAAGATAGGTGACAGGGACTTTCCCCTTTTCATTTCCTCTTTCTCCAATCAACCAATCAGGGTCCATTCCCGGGACGGTGTACACAGTGATGAGCTGTAAAACAGTATGAAAAGGCAGACATAAAGAATATTTTGTCACGTGGATCCAAACTACCGCACTACTGCATGTACCGATTACCTACACATATACATATACTGTACAAATATATACATACTAAAGGTTTAACAGTACAGAAAAGCCACAGTTCAGTACGAACCTCGGTATACACACAGTATATACACATATACACTGTATATATAAGTATATACAGTGTGTGTGTGTATATATGTATATATATACAGTATATACACATGTATGTATATGTATATACACGTGTGTATATATACTGGATGTATATGTACACCATATATACACATGTATGTATATATACGGTATGTATATGTACACCATATATACACATGTATGTACTGTATATATACACCTTATATATACGTATGTATATATACTGTATATATATGTATATATACGTATGTATATATACTGTATATATATGTATATACACGTATGTATATATTCTGTATATATATGTATATACACATGTATGTATTTAAACTGTATGTATATGTATATACACATGTATGTATATATGCTGTATATATGTATATACACATGTATGTATATATGCTGTATATATATGTATATACACATGTATGTATTTAAACTGTATGTATATGTATATACACATGTATGTATATATGCTGTATATATATGTATATACACATGTATGTATTTAAACTGTATGTATATGTATATACTGTATCTGTGCGTGACAAACAATCACCGCTATAGCCCTAATATTTACATATAGATACATATATATATTACAATTGTAATTTTGTTATTAAATAATGAACACACTCTACCTCGTCGGCCAATAGGGAGAGCTCACTGCCATCATGGGCGTCGTAGTCGTACAGGACCTTGGCTTTTCTTGCACCTGTGACCAATGTGGGCATCTGGTCAGAAGCCAAACCCCCAGGGGCCTTAGGGCCAGAAAGAGATGAGCTTGTGTCCCCTGAGGATGAGGGTCCGGAAAGGAAAGCAGATGACACAGGTTTTGGACAGGAGGCAACAGAGGTTTGAGGCGAAGTGGAGGCATTTGAACACCTGTGTGAAGTAAAAATAAAATAATTAACACAATTATGGGGTTAAAAAAAGAAAAAAAAAAGAATCTCCTCCTGTGGCACTTCACATAATAATTGAGTTTAATATAAACATATTAGTTGCAGAATAAAGGCTGTGACCATATGGCAAAGACAAAGAACATGTTAAGTTAACAACAAAACTAACGTTAAAAGCAAGGGGAAAAGACAAGAAAATAAAGTTTGTTAAAAATGTGTTAATAGTTGGTTTTAAATTTCTGTTATTTTTATTCTAGTCCGGTCGTCAATTATCTTGGCTAACGTCACTGATCTGGGCTTACATAGTCTGGGAGTAGCTCCTAAAAACGACTCTCAGCGTGCTACTGTTTATTTGTTTTTGACACCATCACAACTGTGTGCGCGCCTGATCACTGTCATGGTTCACTGGACTGACTCAACTAATTTGCCTCTGTGATGACTTTGTGTTATTACATCAAGTGTACATTTCCAGCTGCCCAAACCCTTGAACAAATCCCACTTGACCATGACCTGGATGACTGAGAATCTTCACAGACATGTTCCCAACATGGTTTACAAGTTTCCATGGTTTTCCTGTTGTTAGAAGTTGATTAAGATTTTATGAGGATTTGGTTTTTTTAACCAAATGAGATCAAATACAACGATGCTTCATTTACAAGAACTAAGCAAAATAGCATTACCAGCTGAAATGGTCTTCTGTGCCCCAATAACTGAAACTGTTAACTTAAAAAAAAAACAGACATTTCTTTACCGAATCACATCTCCATTTAGCTCCTCTTATTAAGTCAAACTGGTCTGGTCTGATTTACCCTGCAATCTGTCAATATAGGTCAAGATAAAAATAAAAAACACTTCTTCCAACGTTCTGTCTTGGTTAAATACAGGCCACAACCAACGTTTTTAGGCGCATGTCGCCACCTGCAAGAGATTTGTAGATTTTTTTTACCCGATTCACGCTGCATTGCACTGCATATATGTACAAAAGATAAAGTGAATATCACAAACTAGCTAAGAGTAAAGTATAAAAGTTAGAATGTTAAAAAAAAAAAAAGGGGGGAAGAACAATGGTTCCTTAAACAGAGGGCAAACAGAAATCAGTCAAGAAGTGACTAATAGACAGGACACCAAATGGTTGGAAATACCAAAAACACAACTTAAAGATGACTAAAGGTCAACACAGAAAGCTAAAGGTTAGCCAACAAAGAGAACACTTCAGGTTTAAGGGTTTGGATTAGGCCAGGCATGGACAAACTAAGGCCCGGGGGCCACACTCTTTTAATCCGGCCCGCCAAACGGTTCCAAATTTATTTATATCATCATTATACTTCTGCCTTTTCCCTGCAATACCCACGTTTCCCCTCTAGATGGCGTAGAAAATGATAAAAGCATTTCATCCTTTATGCATGACTTTTACATTGTCATTTATCTTAGGTCGCACGAACACTTGAATCTGCTCCTGACCTGGCCTCCCTGTTCAATTTTAGGACAATTGTGGTCGCGGGTCAAAACGTTTTACCACGCCTGAATTAGAACCACGATGTCCACCACTGTGCACCACTGTGGACAGAACCTCTGTCAGTCTGTGATTCTGGAGAAGGCTCACCTGTGAAGCTCTCGCTGCAGCTCCTGCATGTAGTGGTGACACTGAGCGTAGTACGTGGCCTGAGCTTCTGCAAAGTCCTGCAAACATCGCAGGTGGTTGAGCTGAGGAGGTCAGAAGAAGAGTTGGAAGGGGAGGCCAGGGAAGGGAAAAAAAGGAAGAGAGAAAGATTTAAATACAAACAGAGAGAAGAAAAGATGTTATTAAAAGAGTAAGATCACCATTACTTTTATGCAGCTCAGTTAAGGCCACTAGTTTGCCTGTGCTCACCAGTTTACACCGCAGCTTGGAAGGAAACAGAAGGACCTACAGCAAAGGGTATCTCAGCAACAGCCCAGCTAAGTGACAATAAACTACAAAGACAGGAAGTCCCAGAAGACTCTGTAACAGGAAATCTTCTGAAGTCCTGACAGGAATTAGTCAAAACTTGCAGAATAAAAAAACACACCTAAACCCATGAGGTGGGTATGACTCAGACTTTAAACCGAATAAAATTGACCAGTGATTTTAAAGGTTTAACTTCCTATTACTCATTTACCCACAAAGGGATATTTCAGAGTTTTGAAAGGTTACAAACGGTGCAGTGGGATTTGGGTGGTGGTCATAGAGACTGCTGCCCCCGCGACCCGGTAATGGATAAGTGGATGAAGATGGATGGATGGATGGATGGATGGATGGATGAATAAATGGACTGAGTATGTAAAGCCAACCAGATCTGACTTTATTTGAAGAAACTTGTGTTTTGAGTGAACTTCACCCCCATTGTCTTTCGATTATTGTTTTACTAGTGAGTTGCGCCCCCCAAATTCCCCCCAAAAAACCCAAATTCCATTCTGATGATCCAATGTTTAGCTGCATTGAACAAAGGAGCAGCTAGTCATGTGTCACCTAGCAACTTGATAGGATCCCTACTGGCCTTGCGCAAGGTGTGGCAATCTGGTGAATCAGAAAAAATGACTTTGCTGACCCTGATGACGTGCTCATGGCTGTTGCACTGGCCACATAACTATTGTAAACCCTACCTAACCCCTATGCCGCACTTCCTCCCAAGCACCCCCACTCGGATGTAATGCAACGCGACCGGACTTACATGCGTGCTGCTAATTCCCTCCAGCAGCAGCCGTGTAACCTCAGCTTGGCGGTCAAACTCCGTTTGGGCAACACGCAGCTCGTGCTCTGCCTGTGAAGGCAAGTTTTAGGAAACGGAAAACACAGTCAGAGAAGTAAAAAGACACACATGTGAACAGACAACTGCACTCACCTTGTCCACCTCCTCACTCAGCAGCTGAAAGAGAAACAGGAAAAAAAATAAGAAACACTGTTAACCCATGGTAGGATGTGCAGGAAACTCCTAATAAAAAAAATCTTATATGTAAAGTCTTTTACATATTACATATTATATGTATATACATATAATATATATACATATATAATGCATATATGTGTATACATATATTATATATATACATATAAATAATATATATATACACTGTACATATATATGTATATACATATATATACATATAAATAATATATATACTGTACATATATATGTATATACATATTATATATATATATACATATACACACAACTTAGCCGGGAAAAAGTCAGTATTTTTAAGGTGAACAAAGCAGAAGTGCTAGTGATTATTCAGTCTTTTTTGCACCGTATACGTCACCTCTTTTTTTCTCTCCATTATACAGCTTTGTACAGTGACGGCTATTCAAATAATTGTGTATCTGCGCCCCCTTGTGGATGTTGTGAATGGAGCACCGTGTTATTCCTAACGGTAGAATAATAATATATAAAAAAGGCCACCTGGCAAAGGTTGTATTATGAATATATTTTTTAATATATGTTTATATTATTGATTTAGAGAAATGATGTATGGGTAGACTAAATTATGTTAGTTAGCTACTAATCCGTTAAATGAAAGAGCCTACAAATAGGTAAGAGTTTGTTCTAAAGGTTTGGATCAATTTACTCCAAAATAACTTAAATACATGAAAGATAAAATGATCGTTAATTGTTGTTTTCATTCAGTTTTTTTTTCCGTTTTGGATAAACAATTTCATTTTCTTTAATGGTGTGATAATTGTTATCATGTCATATTTGCCCTACTTTTTGGATAAATGTTAGAGATTGTTCCACTGCCCCAAATTTAGCTCGGAATCATTCTGACAAGCTAGTACAAAATGTTAGCACATAAGCAAATAAAAAAAAATCAGGAAAAATTACAAAGAATTGAAAAAAATGTACTTGAAAATACATTACAATACCAAATACGTACAATACAATATGTCGGGGATTTAAGAACGATGTTTTTAATCGGACTGTCTGCTTTTAGGAAGGATTTTTCCCGCCTTGAAGTTGTATGTTTAGGTGGTCTGACCTCGAGTCTATTTTGGACGGCTGCATAAAGGATTGTTAATTTGCGCCCCCTTGTGGGAAAATCCAAACCACAGTGAAAACCGCTTTTTTAACTGAGAATCCACATAAACATGAAACCAACAGGTTACTATTGGGCTACAGAGGACTCGGCTGTGTCTACGGAGTACTTTCTACTTCCTACATGTCTACACAAGAGCAACACAGAAGCTACAACCTTCCTCTGCTCCAACACAGCAGCATCTGTGGGTGAATCCCAGCTTTCCCAGCCGCTCTGCAGCTTATTCAATCACACACAAACATTTGTTTAAAATACTGATGAGAACAATACATTTACTAATCTCCTAAAGAGCACTGGCTTTATTAAAAAAAAATATATATATATACTGTATAAATCAGTGGCATGTGCTGTATTTTGTACCTAGCCTTCAGTGATGTGCTGCCTGGGTAAATCCACCCATCTTAAAAAAATATTATTTCGGCTATAGAAGCCTTCGTTATTATGCAGAAATGTGGTATAATGAGTCTTTATATATATATATAGAGAGAGAGAGAGAGAGTCATACATATCTTATATACCCATAATAATGTCACTCCCAAAGCACAATTCAGCCACAGCTGCGAAATACTACACATTAAAAATCACCAATTATAACAAAACATAACAAAATTACATTATTGAAAAAAAGACTGAATGCATTTTACTTTTACTAAAAAGTAAATTTGCTACTTTACTTTACTTACTAATTTACTAAAAAAATCCATCATCCTCCTCTTTTTTCCTTAAGATAAGTTCAATTACTCTGTTGTACAGTACATTCTGTGCTTTACAGTTCTATCTCCATCCACGCTAATGATGAACCTCTAGTCTGTCCTGTTGCAATAATTAATAATTAATCATTTGTGCAATAATTGTGAATAAAAAACTGTATTACTGAGTACTCTATGAAATATATATATACACACATATATAGTATTAAGTTACTGATTCTGATACTGTTTCCTACCAATTCAATGTTACATTAGGAAAACGCTGATGTCATTTAATGCAGTTACTGCGTTTCTACCTTTACTCTGGCGAACAAAGCCACATACTGTATTACGCAAGGGATACGCACATGGGATTTTTATGCAGGTGGGGCCGTAAGACGTTTGCTTGATCGGATAATATTTTAGTAAAAAAAAAATAATACTGGAGTTTATGCACGTGTACAAGTTTCCTTTATGCTCTGACCTACGATTTTTAAGAGCCATGGTTTTACAAAAGCATTGAGTGTGATGGTCCACCAGTAGATCACTACTGTTTCTCCTTCACTGTTGCCTTTGCTTCGCTTCAGTAACAACATATCAAATATAACCCAAAGCAGAAGAGGTCCAAATAAAGCAAACATGCATCGTACTGTAGAATCATGCATCTAAATTAGCATGTTAGCTTCCCTGCAGAGTTTCTCTCTTACCGCTGAGGCACTGGCAGACAGAACATAATTTCTGGGCCTGGTTTCCTGAAAATCGGGTGCAACCTACGAGGAAAAACAGGGGGCAGGGGGGAGGCGTTGTCATGCACTATCACATCGTCATTCGATGGACATAAACGAAAGCACACAGACATAAGGAAAACATGAGCATGTCACAGTGAAAGTGCAGATCACGGTGGACGAGCACTAACATCATGCTAATGTGTCAGCGACCGCACAAAACTCACCGCCGCTTTGGCTTCTGCCAGCTTGGCCTTTTTCAGCCGTGCCTTGCAGATGTCCAGATCAAGTCGACGGTTCTCCAGCAGGCGGCGCTCTTTCTGCAAAAGAGCAAAGGAGAAGAGTTGAATATTTGTTAAAGAACAAATGTCCTAGAATTTAGAACAAGCAGGTGTGAAAACACACAAGGTAGAGAGAGTGTGCGTGCCAGACAGAGCATACTGACTGGTCAGGTAGAGAGAGTGTGCATGCCAGACAGAGCATACTGACTGGTCAGTTTTGCTAAATCGATCAAAGCTTTTAACAGGCAATATCTGTTGTCACAACAGAGCTGAGGTAAGAGTGGCCCAGAATTACAAAAACACAAAACCCACTTTATCTTAGATTGCATGAAAGTGAACCCTTATTTAATAAGAAAATGATATAATGGTGTTCTGTTTCGCTAATGGTATTAAAGTAAAGTCTCTGTCTGTCTGTAAATCATATACAAAGGTATATCACTCAGAGCAACAAGCCTGGAGTGAAGTCCTTCTGTAGGAGGTGGTAACTGACCATCACTAGGAGCTAAGGTGCCAAGATCCTTTAACCTTTTTTTTTTTTGTCTCCCCACATTTATCACAGTTGTGCTAACACGAGCTAATGTTTACAACTGAACAAAAAAAAAAAGAATTAATTGTTTTTAGATAAAATTGACTTCTACAAGTCAACTGTCTCCACAATATCATCGTGACATTTAACAAGTCATACATTTTAAGTTGAAATTTAAGAAAAACAAAAAACGAGTTACCTCAATCCCCCATTTCATTTCAAGTCCATATTAGCTCACAGGAACAGAAGAGGTGCTGGTCTACCGCTGTCAAAATGTTAGTTTGAGTCAGATTAATAAACTAAACTAGACTTCTGAACATAAAAGTCGATGTAGAGAACGCAGAGATGGTCGGTGTAACAGTAAAGGTGGCAAAGTAAAGGGTCAGGACAGAAGCTAACATCTGAAGCTAATGTCTGAGGCTAATGTCTGAAGCTAACATCTGAAGCTAATGTCTGAAGCTAACATCTGAAGCGTCTCCACTAGCAGCCATGTTTTTAAGTAGATTTTCTGCCTCAGGCACAGACCTTGCGTCAGTAAGTCCGTTAGCCACACTTTCAAAAACCCAAACCATCCCTTTACCAGGGAGACAGTGAGTCAGACATACTGCTATGGTTTTCCAGTCTCCCTCCAGGAAGTTGCGCAGAGGAGACAGGAAACCGGCGGCAGCAGTGTGGAGAAACTCTCTCTCTGCTGATCCCAGTCTTTTCTCGTACTCTCCCACTATGACCAGGGTTTTACCTGCAGTCGGCACAAACACACACACACACTCGTCATACACACACATTTGATACCGAGTTATTAAAAGGATGATTGTGCTTTACACTAATACTGTGGCTAACACATGCAGTTAGCTCGTGAGTTAGCTTGTGAAATGGCCTGTAAGAGACGCAAAGAAAAAGTAAATATTTCATTTCCAGCAGCTTGGGTTTCACTGAGAGCTTCACTGACCGTACGGCGTATCTGCTCCAAACTCAGAAGCAGCGTCCAGCATGTAGTGGCCCAGCAGCTCGGCATTGGTGGTCTTGGACGGAAGCTTCTTGTCCAGTTTGTCATATATGAACTCCTCTATTCGAGCACCTGAATGTAAAAAACAAAACAAAAACAATTTTAAAATATAAATGAAATAACACACAAACACAAAGAATATGTTCCAGCAAAGACTCTTAAAGTTAGTGAAAGTGTAATCCTTTGCTTTAGAAAACCAAAAATAATTTTAAAAAACGGATCAAAAACCTTTTAGGAAACACTCTTTAACTGTTACTTTAGATGTTCCCAATGTCCCTGAAGGCATCGCTGTTTGCCAGGTGTCTTCCTGCACAAATTCTCATTAGTAATTTAACAGGAGTCTGAACCACTGAAACCCTGACCTGATTACACAAATGTTTACATGTGCAGTCAAAAGGATGAGTCCTAATTCACCACCTGCTGGTAGTGGGCCGGGAGTGATCGAGTCCAAGTCACCAAAGAAAAGTTTGAGCCAAGACTAGCTGAGGCGCCGGGTTTCAAGTTATGGTCCGAGTCACATTTTAAATTTGCCTCAAAAATGTATTCAGTTTTTAATACATTTTTTAATTTATTATTAAGTCTTAATGAAATAGCTTTATAGCATCATAGCAGCCTCGGTAGAGAGCTACAGAGTGACTGAGTGGATGGTGCTCTAGCCTGGTAGCAACAAGATCTACGGTTCAATTCCTGATGGTAACTGATAGTTTTAACATTTGGAGTATCCATGCAGGTTTAAGTTTATTATTCACTCCACATGGTGTGAATGTGAATTTAAATGATTGTTTTTTTTATTTAGGGATTCCCAACCCCCGGTCTGTGGACCCGTGCCTGTCCGTAGGTCATTTGGTACTGGGCCGCAGTGGGACACAGTGAAAAAAATGTACAGTTTTTTATTTTTTTTTATTTACTTCATTCAAAAAGAATCCAGTCGTTGGTGTGACCTAAAATAAATGACATGAAAAAGTCATGCAAAAAGGCTCATATGCTAAAATGCTAAAATACTTTTATCATTTTCTACGCCATCTATTGGGAAAACGTAGACATTGGAGGGAAAAGGCAGAATTATAATGATAATATAAATAAATTATATAATTTGGAAAGGTTTGGTGGGCTGGATTAAAAAAAGCTGAACGGACCACATCCAGCCCCCGGGCCTTAGTTTACCCATGCCTGGTCTAAAAGATGTTTTATTTAGACATTTGAATGATCCTTCAGTGACAGTGCGGAATTACCAGTCCGCAGTAACGGCTGTTACTGGCCGACCAGTCGTTGGTACAAAAAAGGTTGTGGACCGTTGGTGTAACGGACAAGAGGACTGTCTAACCCCGGGATGTAACCCGCCCCAGTGGTTGAAGATGAATGAGGCTGCACACTATAAATGAGGACACATCTATATCACTCAACTCTGCAGTAAATCAGAGTCACACTTACCCGTGTGGTCAACTGAAGCATGAAAAGGTAAAAGAGCTCATAAGACATCAACACCAAGTGTGGTACATTGACAGTCATGGTGAAATGAAACTGAAGCGCTGAAACTTACTAGGATTGGGCTGCAGGAGCACCTCGGTCTGTCGCAGGATCTTCTCAGTCCAGTTCTTGGTGCTGTCCCCTTTTATGATCAGGTTTTCAAGGTGCTGATCCAGCTCGGTCTTCTCAGCCTGACCCAGCTTCTCCTCTGTAAACTGGGATGGGAACACCAGTCAGAACCAAGGTGCATTTACAGATAAAAGAATGTAAACACATAAAGAGCGTTTGTGAGGTGTTTTTTTTTTTAAATTATTATTATTTACGAACACATAAAGAGCGTTTGTGAGGTGGTTTTTTAAAAAAATTATTATTATTTACAAAAAAACAAAGATCAAAAAAAAAAACAAAGATTTGCATTAATTCTAGATGGGATGGCATTAGGAATTGTCCCGATCCTCCTTGAAAACTGTTGCACTTTGAAATTTGTTTGACGATAAAAACAATCACACAGCAGATTTTAACAAATACAAAAGCCATTATTTGTCTACAACAAGTAGGGAATAATTCGGCATGAAAATGGTCATTCTTAATGTATCTGGTTTTTAAAGAGGCTACGTTGAATTAACAGCCCTCAATCTCGAAAGAGGTGAGTCGCGCGAGTAAAGCAATAAATTATGGATGGGCGCTTGTGTGCCAGCGCTAGTGTGTGCGTGGGTGTGGGTGTGGGGTGTGTGCGTGTGCGGCCCACAGCTCGGCTTCATCAACCAGGATACCGTGTCAAACAGTATGGAGCTCTCTCCCTCTGCTTTTTACCGGAACAGGACGGGTCTTGGAGCAGCGGGGCTCCGGGTTTTCTTACCTGCATCGCCCGGGTAAAGAAAACCCCGGCATCAGAGGCTAATTTCTTCACGTTAAAGTCCATGACGCCGTTTGGTATCCGTGCAGAGGAAAATCCTCCAGATCAGCTGAGATGGTGCAGCGAACTAACGTCGGGAGAGTAATCCTCTTCACGGACGCTCGGAAATCTCCCCACCGCCCTGCGCTTAAAGGGCCTGCAGCACCTGCAGCGTGACCGCCCATTATGGCCGCGCTCCATAATAAACCTCAAATGAGGTGAAAAATACATGGGAATAATCACATTACATTACAAAGATCACTATGTTGCTCATTAGTACAAGAGTACCAATCAGTACCAATCAGGAGCCGCGTTGTGCTGCTTTCTTCATCACACTCTCCCCCCCGTCCCCCCCGTGCACCGAATTCCATAAATTGTATATATCCATCCTAACAATTTAATTCGAATAGGTTTATTCGGTGTTATAAATGCTATTCCAATGTGAATATGTGAAGTGTACCACTGCTGTAATGCTTGAATGATAACAACCTCCAGTCGCTAGGTGGCAGCAACTCATACAGCGGTTTGTATAGATAAAAACGTACATTTTTAATTATTATTTTATATTATGCTCTTGCACATTGGAATCATGCAGACTTACCTAAAAAAAAACAACCTTAAAATTTAAATTATTTTTGTGTGGGCAGGTACAAAATGATCCATTTACAGCAATACGTACGCAATTTTCCTTGAGTTACAATCGCAGCTGTAAAGCATACAAATCTGGCGGATGTTTCAACACAGCTCCACCGTAGATTTGAGATCACAGGGAGTGAAATTCTTCTCTTTTATCCATAGCGGTGACTCTGGGGTTTATGTCATATTTCTTGAGATAATTAGGATTTTAAAGGAGTATTAAGTGACTTGGCTAACTGTCACAAGTCATAACATCAAATATTTGATAGAAAAAATATAATATCTCAATGGAGCCAAGGCAAGAAACTAAAGACCAAACCAAGAGCCATCTACACTGTCGCTTAAATTGCTAAAAGTGTCTGTGAAATACACACCCGTGTGTGTGAACACCTTAACGAAAAACAAGTCAAC